AAGGGATCAAAACACTGCAGGATTGCTTTGATCCCTGCTTTCTCCCTTCATTCTAAGCCTCGCGAGGCTTAGGAAAAGGAGGGGGAAAGTGATCAAAGCTATCCCACGACTGCATGATCATTTTGATCCTTTTCCCCCTTATACAGCCATGGGATTGCTTTGAGCGTTTCCCCCTCCTTTTGCTAATCCCCATGGGACTTAATAAGCAGAGGAGAAAGCAAGGATCAAAGCCAATCTGCAGCACTTTGATCCCTGCTTTCCTTTTGCTAAGGCTTAGCAAGTGGATGAGAACACAGGGATCAAAACCCTGCAGGATCGCTTTGATCCCTGCTTTCCCCTCCACTTGTTTTTCCTCTCCTCAGCTTACTTCCGTGTATAAGAGGACCATTAATTTTTAGTCTAAATATTTTAGACAAAAGTATAGTCTTATACATGGAAAAATACAGCAATCATCTCCTGGTGGTAGAGCAGCTGAGTTTGTTGCTGGGAGAATGTGATGCTAAAAGCTTTTCCCAGCTCCCTGGTTCTTGGAGCCTGTGCTCTTTATGGGATCTTTGGCAAGTCTTCCTGGGAGCACAAATGTTATGATCTTCCCAATGCAGTAAGGCAACTCTTCTGCTGTGTTTTGAGCACCTTCCTGCTCATTCTATGGAGCAGTCTTAGGTTTCTCTAACAGAATCTCTCTCTTTTTTTAAATGACACCCATAGATTCCATGTCTGGATAAAATGATCTTAGATATATTCACAGGAGACCCTTTAAAGCAGCCATTCTAATAGTGAAATGGAACCTCCCAAGTTCCGAAGCATCCCACATCTGGAACACCGGTAGCTGGGCAGCCACCGCTACAGGCAGCCATTGCCTCTAAGGTCTGCTTTTGAGTTTTGCAAAGAGCCCTTCTAGGAAACCAAAAACTGGACTAGACCAGGTCCCCGAAATCTCCCAGTGGCATGGCGGACCGGTGCTCGGCGGTGGGAGTTGTAGTTTGTAACTGTGGGCTAGATTAGAGGTTCCCAACCTTGGGGGTCCCCAGATGTTCTGGTCAACACAGGTCGTGGTGAAGGCTTCTGGGAGTTTTAGCCCAAGGACATCTGGAGACGCATCCTGCTGTCCGATGCTATTCAGAGGGATGAGCAAGAAAAGCTAGCGCCGAATATCTGCAGCAAAGCATCACTGCCTGTCTCTCCCCAGGATCCTGGTCAGATGGGATTTGGAGGCAGGATTGTTTTATGGGTTTCTCGTTCCCATTCTGCCCTCTGGTTAAACAGGTTTGTCGTTTTCTTTTCTTTTTTTAAGGGGGAGAACTCACAATAGTTTCAATAACCTACTGGAACTCTTTGACCTAGATGCTCCCAGGTTTCAACTCTCTCAGAACTCGTTTTGCGTTTTCAGGTTGATTGTCTCTGTTGTTCTTACATGCTGGCAAGTCGTCTCTCACTTATGGCAACCCTATGAATGAGTGACACACACACACCCACTTCTTCATCTTTCTTGCTGTCCAGGCTGTCCACCGTCTCTCACTTATGGCAACCCTATGAATGCGTGGCACACGCACACACCCAAATGTCCTGTCCCCAGCAGCCCCCTCTTCATTCTTGCAAACTCAAAGTCGTGGCTTCTTTCAAGGAATCAGCCCATCTTCCTTTTTTGCTTCTGCCTTTAGCTTTTCGTAGCACCGTCGTCTTTTACAGCGGGTCTTGCCTTCACAGGATGCGCCCAAAGTAGGACAATCTTGAGTTTCATCATTTTTTTGTCTCCAGAGAGTTCAGGCTTGATTTGATCTAGGACCCACTTCTTCATCTTTCTAGCTGTCCAGGCTATCCATAGAGTTCTCCTCCAGCACCATTTTTTCTTCCTGTCAGCTTTCTTTACTGCCCAGGTTTTACACCTGTACGTAGTGATTGGGAATAAAATAGCACCGATGATGGTCTTGGTCTTGATCTCGAAGTGACACATCCTTACCCTTGATCTTCTGTACACTATTTCTGTCATTGCTGCCCTTCCAAGTCTTAGCCTTCTTCTGATTTCTTGGCTTCCATCTCCTTTTGGGCTAATGTCTGAACCAAGGTATACAAAATCTTTTAACCATTTTAATTTCTTCATTTCCTCTTCAAGGGTGTCAATCTGGGGTAACAAGGACAAGTGATGAAGGCCAAAAGAACAGCTTGTTATATGGTTTTGTAGTCGTTGAGCGAAAAGTTCTCATCCACCCCCAAAGCAAGGATTTGGAAATGAAATGGCAAACTCTTTGAGCAGCTCCTAGCTGTTGGGATTTTTCATAGGTTGATCAGGATAGCACGGCGTATGGAAGGAGCTGTCCCATATTTCCAGGCCCTCTCTCTTTCTGCACCCCCATCACCAAACCCACACTGTGGGAGTTCATCTCCATTGAAGGATTACCTCCCGGGAAAACAAACGGGTTCATTCTGAATCCCCCCTTCTTTCTTTCTGCCCCAGAAAATTCCCCCTCTCTTCCTCTCCTTCCTCTTCCCAGCCGTTGCTTCCAGGGTTTTTAATTGCAGGGCTGTTTTAATTGCTGGCACTCAATGCCAGATCTGGGGGACCCCGTCCATCAAACTGCGTGGGGGATGTAGGCGGGTCTCCTGCAGTCGGTTTCTCCTTGCTGCATTTGGGGCACTCTGCGCAACCCCTTTTGTGGCCTGGATGATTCTAAAGGGCCCTGGGATGCTCTTTGGACCCAACATGAAGACGCTGCAGGATTGGACCGCCTTGGGGGCTGGTTCTGCTCCGAAGGCTCCTTTCGATTCCCCGCCATGCAACTTTCCACGCAGCCCGCTTGAGCGCTATGTTATTCCTGCTTCACTAAATCAGGATTCCAACACCCCCACCCCCACGTGGAGGGCTATAACCACCGCCCAAACAGGTTTCTGCTTCCATTCTTTTCAGTAAAGCTCATGTTAAAGAATGTAGGAATTTGTTTTGTACCAGATAAGACCAGAGGTCCATCTTCAGTGATGCCAAAACTGCCCAGCAGCGACGCTGAGATGCGGATCTTACGGAGGGATTTCAAGGATCACATCTGGGACCTTCTGCTTGCAAAGCTCTGCTTTTGCCACTGAGCTAAGATTGGCCCGAAACGGGAGAATAGGAGCTTGATTTGTTGGCCACAAAACAAAAATACGTATTATAATCCCTTCCTTCCTTCCTTCCTTCCTTCCCCCCTTCCTCCCTCCCTCCCTCCCTC